TCTTCTCTCTCTCTTTTTAGCGGGAGTGGGGGAGGGGGGGGTGGAGGATGCAAGGTCTTTGCACCCCCCCCCCCAAAAAAAAAAAAAAAAAAAAAAAATCCACAACTTGTTGGCGGGAAAATTGCAACTAATATCCCCCCTTTTTTTCTTTTCTTTTCTTCTCCTTCCTTTTATCTCCCCTTTTCCTTATTCCTTTCCCTTTCCTTCCTTCTCTCTTATTATTTTGATTGAGGGGGGGGGGGCAAGGCCCTTTCGCCGCGTGGCGACAATCTTCCTCTTCTTCTTGGTACATGGTTGATCCCTCCACTGAGGCCTGGAGTCCAAATAATTGTTTAAAATCCGACAGCTTTGGAGAGTCTTAGAAAGATCAGACGAGGACAAGCGAGGCGATCGAGGCTACATTATTCCATGATACAAAGTGAGAATGTAAGTATTCTTTGGGATGATTATAAGTATAACTTTTCAGCTGTTTTGATTTCAGCCAGTAGACTAGGCCTAGATCTATAGACTCTGTAATGACGTGCGATACTATTTACGTCTACGCGGCCACGCGCACGGCCGGCCCAACACGGCACTGCAGTGGACTTTGGGCGGCATGCATGCAGTTTACAGGCCTAGCTTGGCTATGCTTCTGGGTGACAATGAGTCGAGTGAGAGAGTGAGAGTAAGACTGGTGATGGCCTAGCTGGCTGGCCAAGTGTTTCATAAAGATGCATGTTCGTAAAGTCCTGCATATGGCTTTTTGAACGACTGGAAGTGGAATATGACAAGCCCAGTGGCGGATCCAGGGGGGTAAAAAGGGGGCACGTGCCCCCCCCCCCGGCCGAAAATAAATATGTTAAAATCATCCCTAAATTCGCCCAAAATTTACTGAAAAACAGGGGCGTGCCCCCCCGGTCAATCTCTTTCCTACCGTGTGCCCCCCCCCCCCGGCAAGAAATTCCTGGATCCGCCCCTGAAGCCAAATGGGTGTCTCATTCATTTTTAATCGCATTTATCATTAACGATTAGCTAAAATTGAAATATGCAGATGTAATCGATCAACGTCCTGGGGAGGGGTCTAAAAAAGTTTAACCGATCTTGGAATTTGTTGGGGGTACGCACCCCCCCCCCCCCTGTGGCTACGTGCCTGCTGGCCAGGGGGTTAATGGATTCAAAGCACGTTTCAAAGTACAGCGGGTAATTATCAGAGGTGAAAATGGGGCACTTCTTACACCTTAAAAAGGGGCACTCACCATGAAAAAGGCCCTTATGAGAATGAAAAAGGGGCACTATTAATAAAGGGAAATATGCATTTGTTGAAAGAAAAGAGGCATCGATCAGATTTTAATAGTGAAGAAAAGGGGCACTTATGAGATTGATGAGAATGAAAAGGGACTAATTGCATACTAGGTGAAAAGGGGCATTTATGAGAAGGGGAAGGGGCTCTTTTTTAAATAGGGGCACTTATCATAAGGAAAAGAGGCACATGTGAAAATATAAGGTGCGCTTATCCGAGTTAAAAAGGGGTAGTTATTAAAGGAAGAAGGGGAACAAGGTGCACCTCTCAGATTTGTATAGGGCAATTATCAAAGGTGAAGGGGGTGCTTATCAAAAGTGAAAAGGGGCGCTTACTAGAGATTAAAAAGGGCACTTATGAGAATGGAAAATGGACACTTATTGCAAAATGGAAACTTGTTGAAGGAAAAGGGGTACGTGCCAAAATAAAAGGGGCACTTATCAGAGGTTGAAAGGGGAAGGGGCACTTTAACAAATTAATAGGGGCACTTGTAAAAGTAAAAGGGGCTCTTTGTATGTAAAAAGGGGCACTTCTTACAAAGCTAAAGGGGCACTTTTCCTATGTAAAAAGGGTCACTTTTGGGGTTCCAAAAGGAGCGCCGCCTCTGAGGAAGGGGCTAGTTTCAACCAATAGGCGACAGTTTTTCAACGCAAAAAGATCGTGATGTAATTTAAGGAATTTTTCTTTTCACTTCTCACACATATTTTAAGACCCTGTTTGAGATAATTGGAGGTATGGTTGCAGAGATATATTCGTGACCAATGTCACAACAAAATGGTGGTTTCCAATGATTTTGTGTGACGTTGTATTGGTTTTTTAAGTGTTTTCAGAAGAAGGTTTTTTTTTCCTATTTATTAGGAACATAACATCCCTTTCGTCCATCATGAACTATTCTAGATAACAAAACAATGGAAAAAAGGTTTAAAAAAAAAAACATGCATAACAAATTTAAAACAAAGAAATAAGAATGCTAATGAATATTCCTTTGGCTCTAATATGCATAATCATTTCCCACATCTCGGTCATAAATTGTTGAAACATCACTAAACATCACCTTTCTTCAATGTACAACTGCCCTGCCGTGATGCTGTAATTAAAATGTGAAAATTCAAAATTTCTGGAAAAATTGGCATATTTGCATAATTAATCTCAATAAATGGGGGAAATGAATTGAAAAAATTAGAATTCCTTATTTGCGTCATTAATTTGACAAATTAACAATAATTAAGAATAAGAATAGATATCATAAATTTGACTGCATTCTTGTCAAATACGTGATTGGACACGACACTCTAAGTTTGGTCACACTCACAATCGGTCGATAAATGGCCAAGATCTGAGAGGGCTTACCCCCCCCCCCCCCCTCCCTGGCTATGCTGTTTCAAAATGGCCCCAACTATTAAGGGTATTCTGCCAACAGTTGAAGCAACTAATTTAGGCACAATTTATAATGCTTGAAGGAGAAAAGGAACATGAAAACCGTACAAAATTTACATGTCATTAAGTCCTGTGAAATATGTTTTCTTTTTTGCAGGAGTCGTGACGTGGAGGAGGCTACATGTAGTTCCATCGACATGGAGGAGGCTACATGTAGTTCCATCGACGTGGAGGAGGCTACATGTAGTTCCATCGACATGGAGGAGGCTACATGTAGTTCCATCGACAATGAGTAAGTCTTCTGAGTTGTTTTCCCTTGCTTCTTCAGTATTAAAGTAAGCATTCATTATTGCTTTGCAGTGACAAAAACATGGTGTGGTGTCTGTCCTCCATTGTCCATCCATTGATTTATTTTGACTATGACCCATCAGAAAGTACAGGTTGTAATTGCCAAGATGCATGATTTTGGCAGAATGCAGGCAATTATCAGGCCCAATTCCTGTTTTGTTTTGTTTTGTATTTAAAATAAGGGCCAGTAGTAATAGTTTGAATTATTATCGATCCCAATAAAGATAAGAAGCAGTTAGCAATTAAGGAAGCATTTTGTACACAAGTCTAATCTCTGTTTCATACAACATATTATTTATTAAAGGTAATACAAAGTTTTGGTATGACACTATGAACATGACGGACAATGAAAGCGGACAAAATATACAGTTCCTCAGGTAGACAAAAGAACATCCCTTCACTGCTATTATGTAAAAAGGTGAATATGCATGTGACACCTGTTATACACATTTTTACATAATAGCAGTGAAGGGATGTTCCTTTGTCTACCTGAGGAACTGTATATTTTGTCCGCTTTCTTTGTCAGTCATGTTCATAGTGTGAGGTCATGAATTTGGTTCAAATGAACGTGCATGTACATGTATTGGAAGCATATGCGATCCTACAATATTCAGTGATCGTTATCGCGGTTGAAATCGAGTTTAAAGTTATGAAATTGTAAATAATACACTGTTTTTGTTGTATAGCTCCATCTCAAGCTAAAGATATTAATTAAGCTATAAAACAATGTTTCTTGACTAAAATCAACCAATTTGCTATTCTCGTATGGAAGTTATATATATCACATCTACATATTCTGAGATTTTCATGGCGCTATTTGAAATTTATCAAAATTTACCGGGAGCACCAGTAAATATTTATATTCAATTTTTCTCGAAAACAGAAGTGTTTTAGAGGCTAAGTTTTCTAGTGCTTATAATACATCCACAGGGGCATCCAAATATATCCAAAAAAATTGTAAAGAATCACTATCCACCCAAGTTTCAAAATTTCCCAAAACTTTGTATTACCTTAAAGTTATTAAGACTATCTGCAATGCGTAATTACAGGGCTGCATGTTCTGTCTAGACCACTGGGTGCATTGAGACTAGTAAGGGATGCTGTATTGACTCGATCATCATTATAGATTGTCAGTGGGAAATACTTTTACTTAGACAAGGCAAATTATCCTCATTGCCTACTGACTAGCCCTTTAGAGGGGAGTAAAAGCTGTCTGGTCCCCCTGGTACAAGATTCTGAAATCTCACTGACACAACCCACCCAGTTCCCGTGGTCAATGGGTTAAATAAGCAACTTGCTTTCTTTCTTTAGTAATAATATTATGTAGTATAAACCAACTTACTTTCTTATTTTTGTTTGCTTCTTTAAATACTTTCAATATCTTTTTGTTGCTTGTTTCACTTAATAGGGTTATAGTTATCTCAGCTGACGACGAGAGTGAAGAGGATAGCCTATCCACAGCCAGAAGAAATGATGGGTAGGTATTTTGCATTGTATTTAGAAACATAAACTTGTTAACCCTTACTGTACTGGGCTATTTTGAGCACCTTGTGACTGGGGGGGGGGGGGGGGTTCCTTCACTTCATCTCAAATTCATTAGGGTTACATTATTTTATGATAGTTGAAAATGCATATAGGGAACTAGAATCATTACAAAAATTGTCAGACTCCACTTTTTGAATGTTAATTGAAACTCATTATTCATATGAAACTAACCCTGTAAGTTGGGGCTCTGATCGGATCGGAAAATCGGAGCGACACCCTCGCACCTTTGATCGGTATCGGATCGTAAGATCGACAAAAAAATCGGCCGTTTTTTTTTTTTTTTTTTTTTGGATGACGAAAATTTTCAACTTTTTGGCTATCAAATGCTTTAAAAAATTCATGGCTGGGATTATTTTGTCATTTAGAGTTGTTGTAGACCGTGTTTGTTGATATTTAGTGCCTTTTCATGACTTTGAAATTAATAATGTTGGTCTAAGAGCAGAGGCAAAACATGCTGGCCGCCATCTTGAATTATAAAATGTAGACCCTAGGTATTTTTATTTTTTTTAATGACGAAAATTTTCAAGTTTTTGGCTATCAAATGCTTTAAAAAAATTCATGGGTGGGATTATTTTGTCATTTAGAGTTGTTGTATACCATGTTTGTTGATATTTAGTGCCTTTTTATGACTTTGAAATTAATAATATTGGTCTAAGAGCAGAGGCAAAACATGCGATTGGATCTTGGATTATAATGTAGGTATGCATTATAATCCAAGATGACGGCCCGCATGTTTTGCCTCTGCTCTTAGACCAATATTATTAATTTCAAAATCATGAAAAGGCACTAAATATCAACAAACACGGTCTACAACAACTCTAAATGACAAAATAATCCCAGCCATGAATTTTTTTGAGCATTTGATAGCCAACAACTTGAAAATTTTCGGCATTTAAAAAAAAAAAAAAGAATCTGCTAATTTTTTTCTGATCATTCTAACACGAAAGGTCACAATACGTGAGCGTGAACGTGATACCTGATACGTGGGTGTTCGTTGCAAGCCCATAATTACAGGGCTGCATGTTTTGTCGAGCCCACTGGGGTGCAGTGTGACTAGTAAGGGATGCTGTATTGACTCGATCATCATTATAGATTGTCAGTGGGAAATACTTTTACTTAGACAAGGCAAATTATCCTCATTGCCTACTGACTAGCCCTTTAGAGGGGAGTAAAAGCTGTCTGGTCCCCCTGGTACAAGATTCTGAAATCTCACTGACACAACCCACCCAGTTCCCGTGGTCAATGGGTTAAATAAGCAACTTGCTTTCTTTCTTTAGTGATATGTAGTATAAACCAACTTACTTTCTTATTTTTGTTTGCTTCTTTAAATACTTTCAATATCTTTTTGTTGCTTGTTTCACTTAATAGGGTTATAGTTATCTCAGCTGACGACGAGAGTGAAGAGGATAGCCTATCCACAGCCAGAAGAAATGATGGGTAGGTATTTTGCATTGTATTTAGAAACATAAACTCGTTAACCCTTACTGTACTGGGCTATTTTTGAGGTGCTCAAAATAGCCCAGTAGAGTAAGGGTTAAGCATGTATTAGGTTCGGTTTTGTTGTGTCAGTGAAAGTGTGGTTTGAAAGGTCGATTACAAACAAAAAAATTGTTTCACCTTCTCAATTCATGATTTCAATGGATCTGTGCCAGAACTTTTAAAGGGACACTAAATTTATCTCAAATGTAGATTTGCTGTTTCAATTTGTGTGGGACTGTTCATTTTATTCTCAGAAATCAGTTTGAAGCATATTCAAATGTATCTGTGAGAGTAATGTTCTCTTACAAGATGTGAGAGACCATACATGGATCATCAATGGTCATTGGAATTGGAAGTTTGTTGGCACATTTGGAAATCTTGAAGACTTGGAAGGCAGATAATTTTAAATTACCACCCCAAACTTATTTATAGTGTATACTACCATAGTAAGGTATTTCACTCATCCAGAAACATACTAATGCAAGCAGAATTGCCAGGAGCTCTCAACTGCTAACGTATTAAATTAGTTTGAGCAGAGTTATTTACTTCCCTTACTCGTGAAATTCTTTGCTTAAATATGAAGTTGGGTTCTGGTCATGCGATTGCATTGTAGAAGAAACGGGTGTGGAATCGATCAGAAAAGGTTGATCATCTAGCATATAAGAATTTGTGTGTATTGCAAGGTTCTGGAATCATCAAAATGATAAGAAATTTGGCCAAGTCTTCTGTACACAGAAAGATGTACATATGGGACTACACGAACATGTGGCGTAAAAAACCGGCCCCCAAGTTTTACATGTTACATGACATATTTAGAATATGAAGGCATTTGAAGAGCCATGCTCTTCAGGGAACATGTCTTATCTGATGTTCTTCCACACTTGCATAATAAGAATGATAAAGTTCACAAATTATTTTTCACCTCTTCCCAGAACTCAACCTTCTCTTTAATCTATACTTTCAAACAAACACTGGACAATATTTGCCTATGAATCTCATGAAAAAGCACATTAAGCAATCTTTCTAGATTTGTGTATAAACAATCAACTACAACACAGTGTCTTTTTCTACCTTCTTTATTTTGACCAGGTCTCGGGAAGGTGCAAAGAGGATTAAAGTGGAGGTAGTCGATGAGGAAGATGTCAAGCCACCAACAGAAACACCTCATCAGGATGAGCACATTCTCTATCGGGGGAAATGGTACGCTTTTAAGAAAAGCAAAACATTCTATAGGAATAGCACGGATGTAGCCAAAAAGATACTATTTCCGTCCTCGACTGTCAATAGCAGTGTTCCCAGTGCATGTGATGAGGAACTGGGCTTCATCATCGACTCGTCGAAACTTCAATTTGCCGCAGATGTAACATGCGATGAGACGGGAAAATACCACAGGCCTAGCTATTCGCGCTGTGCGCTAGTACTTGGAAAAGAGAACAATGTGAAACTTCTTAAACAAGGTGGCCTTTCAGGTGGCGATGAGTACACTCTTTTGAGACGTTACTACGCACACCGGGATACGCCAGGATTCTTCCGGACTGTATACGAATTGCAGCGTGATGGATATCGAGCATGTCCAAATGTTCTGATACGCTATGAGTGGAGAACAGAAAAAACTGCTCTCAGGCTGACTCCGCATGGCAACAGCAAACGAGATGAAACCCCATACATACGCTCAAAGAAGCAATTGCTAACAAGTCTGAAGCAGTCTTCTAAGGGTAAATCAGCCCAAGTGAAGATGAATGAAATCTTCGACCATGAGGGTGGTAGTACAGGAATTGGGTCATTTTCCTCTGTGGCCCGCAATAGAAACCAGGTCTATCGTCATAGCCCAAGTGAAAAGAAGGGAACTGATTTCAACAGATTGATGGAAATGAATGTATCAGGAGGATTTGTTAGGAGCGTAGAGTTTACCAATGACGATGGGAAAGGTCCCAATCCTCGATGTTGCCTGTACACAGACAAACAGATTGCTGACATTAAAAAACATTGCATTGATGGAAGTGTCCTCACGTTTGATGCAACGTTTGATCTTGGAAAGATGTACGTCACAATTGCATCATATCGGCATCAGGGTTTCGTCAACAAAACCAACGAGAAGAATGTGCTCATGCCTGGGCCGATCCTCCTTCATTGCAAGAAAGACATAGAAACATACAGGTATTTCGGAAACCAGATCTCGAAGGCACTAGACAACAAGAAGATATCAGCATTTGGAACTGATGGAGAGAAGGCTATGTACAAGGGTCTCCAAGAGACAAATAGCTTCAAACAATCAGATCACCTTCTGTGCATGCTGCACCATAGGCAAAATGTTGATAGCAAGTTACAGAAGCTCGGCGTCAAAAACAATGCAGACAAAATTCTGAGGAGCATCTATGGTGAACAGGTGAAGGAAACTCGACATGAGGGTCTCGTAGATAGCTCCACAGAGAAAGAGTATGAGGAAGGCCTGCAATTCTGGTGTACACGATGGGACAGTCTTGAAGAAGAGGAAACAGGCAAAGACCCCATGTTTTCCACATGGTTCAGACAATACAAGTCACAGGAGGTGAGGGAATCAATGCTAAAGCCCTTGAGACAGAAGGCCGGTCTAGGGGATCCGCCGCGGCAGTTCACTACCAATGACAGTGAGAGCATTAATGCAATGTTGTCCAAATGGGTTGGCGGGCAGAAGTCCTGGGATGACCTGGCTGATAGCCTTGAAGCTTTCGTGAGGTCCAAGTACAAGGAGCTGGAAATGGCCCTTATGGGCCTGGGGGAAAGGAAGGTCAGTCCGGGACTCAAAGAACTTCAGAAGACTCAACTAGAATGGACCCATATGACCATGGCAGAGAGGAGGGCTGTTCTGGAATGTGCAGATTTGGATGTAGAAGAAGAGAATGAAGCTGCTCTATCCATTGAGCCGGAAGAAAGTGGCATTGGTGGATTTACCATCCATGAATTGAGAACAGTCTGGAGGAAAGCAGGCAAAATTATGGCTACCGACCATAGTGTGGTAGATTTTCCTGCAACGAGCGATCAGATGATATGCTTTGATGGAGATCAACATTTCAGAATTACTCAGAAGGATCTTTTCATTTGTGACAAGAATTGTAGATCATTCGCATTTCACAACCGCCTCTTTTGTGAACACACATTGGCTGTTGCTGATCAAAAAGGCAAATTGGCAGAATTCTTGTGCAAGATCAATGGCAAAAGGCGATCTTCATCTATTGATCTAGTTAATTCAGTACTTAACAAGCAGTGTTCGGGGAGTGGGAAGAAGAGCACACAGAAGAGAAAGGGGGCCAACAATGCAGTGTCAACTGTAATATCTACTGTTATTCCTCAACAAAGACCAGCACAGCCTTTCACTGTGACTCGCAAAGTTGGTGTGATCAAGAAATGTTACGGCTGTAAACAAGAATTCTCAAATACATTGAATTTCCCACCACATGATCTAATTTTGAAGAAGATGGATATTCGAGAATGGTTCGACAAGACATCAGGAGAAAAGAAACAGACTTTTGGTCTCGTTCCCACCTACTATCACCTGAAACTCAACTGTGTTCGTATCAGGTACCCATACACAGAATTGAAAGATATCCTTGTGTATCAAGAAATTCAGCAACAACTGACAGCTGAACACATAGCAATCCTCAGAGACTTTGGTATTGACATAGCATAAACATGGAAAATTCTGCAAGAGGAAGCATACAGGTACTCTGAAACTTTTCATTGAGGTTATGGGGCCCAGCTGATTTTTTCCCCCCCTCACATTATTTTGTATTTGTCATAATTTTACTTGACAAATTTCAAAAGCAAAACTATTGTATGTTTTTATTGTGAACAATACAATACAATAGTTTACATGTCTATCTATGTTGAAGACAAATTCAATCCACTTCATGCATGTAATCTGATTAAGGCTAAATGAATGTAGTTGTTCCTACTTTGCATCAAAAGTGTACTGGTATTATTGATTCCTATACTTTACTTTAAGACAAAAACATGTGACTTTGGTCCTATAATTATTAGGTGATAAGATCTTGATCTTCCATTGAAATCACAAAGAATAAGCCTCTGTGTGTAAGCACTAGTAAACCATATTTAAAAGATTCTACAGATTCATGTTTGTAGCTATGAACGTGTAATGTTAAGTTATCTAGTATCTAACAAGTATTTGTTTGCCTAAAAGGTCAACATGAAATGTTTTACATTCATGAACATGTATTTTGATTACTGGCCAAAATGATAGGTTTACAGTGTACATATTTTTGTGTTTACCTAAATTCAGTCTTCATGGGTATAGTAGAAATTGATTTAGTTTCTGTCTGACCACACATATTTAGTGCGAGAAAGGTTAACAGATACATAATCTTCATAGGACGGTAAAGTGAGATATAGGAAAATGATGTATGTATTAGTGTTCCTCTCCTGGTACCTTTTTGTAGGATAGCTTGGTCATTGACGGCCACATTTATGCTTTTTATGCCCCCGTTACAAAGTAGCCGGAGGCACTACGTTTTCGGGTTTTTCGTCCGTACGTACGTCTGTCCGTACGTCCCGTTCTCGTGATCGCGTTATCTCAAGAACTAATTGATGGATTCCCGCTAATCTTAGTTCATGTATGTATCTTGCAGAGCCAGTGAACTGATTAGATTTTGGGGTCACGAGATCCAAGGTCAAACATCACAGGGCTAATTATGTATGCAAAAATAGCTTGTGAACGCATTATCTCAAGAACCCATTGATGGATTCCTGCCAAAGTTGGGTCATGTATTTATCTTGCAGAGCCAATGAACTGACAAGATTTTGGGGTAACAAGGTCAAATTAAAAAAAATCACAGGGCTTATCATCTATGCAAAAATAGGTCGTTTCTGTTTTGGTTTGTAAAATTGCTCATGTATTTATCTTGCAGAGCCAATGAACTGATAAGATTTTGGGGTAACAAGGTCAAATTAAAAAAAATCACAGGGATTATCATCTATGCAAAAATAGGTCGCTTCTGTTTTGGTTTGTAAAATTGCTCCATGGCGGAGGCATTATTTTCAACTAAGCGCGGTCGAAGGTCCATCTAGTCTTCATAGAACATAAAAATGGGTGTCGAAAAATGTCAGGGGGTGATGGAAATGATTTAAGTTCATCATTTCCGGCCCTGTTTCAAAAGTTATTTTCAAAAGCCTGATATTGATATTACCTAGATTGTAAGAAATTGTTCTTGTCTTTGTTATGCTATAATTAAAGGGATAGTTTTGTAGTGGTTCTGAGATTTAAATCGTCTCCAAAAGTATTGGCAACAGTTTCAGTGATTGATTAGTTACAAATATGAAAAAGTAAATGATACAAGTTATTATAAAAATCAGCCAAATCTGTTCATAATGTGTATCTTAGTGCAATTTTTAAATCTGAGTTAAAGACTGAGGCCATCAGTCTAGTATTCCAACTTTTGTTCAGCGGTATTTTAACCTCTTGTAAACTAATTTTCTGCACAACGATTATTATGTATCAATTATAATTTCCTTGAAAAACTTAAGTTATATTATGTAAACAGTAAAGTGCCGTCTAAGCCGCTACTTAAGTTTCCCTTTAATCTTCTGAAGATTTCATAGTAACTCATAAATTGATCTGGAAACTTACAACATATTGTGAAGCTGTGTAATCATCCAGATGTGGCAGTAAGACTAGAGTAAAGCAAGAACTTTCTAGATAGTAACATAAGAAAGTAAACTTCCTCAATGGTAGAAAGGAGAAAGCATTACTACTATTGGTTTCAAATTTTGCTCATTGACACCAACTTATGCATTTCCAAACTTAATCTTCAGACATGTTTGACGAGGAGATGGTTATGGTACCCTTTTAAGTATAATGTATATGATTATTTTGCAGTGTGTTGACTAGGTGATGCTTACATTAATGAAGAGCTTAATGTATTAATGTAGCTTTTTAAAGAAGAAGAAATGCCCCTGTAACCCCTATTCGGACTGAAAGGTTGATGTTTGTATGTTGTATATCTTCTTGGTGTTTTAAGGTTTGAGCTCTCTCTCTCCCTCTCTGTTTTTTCGATGTGTGTTCTAACTTCTAAGATCTTCTTGTGTACATATTTTAAAGTGATATACTGTGTACATCCTTTAACTGTAAAAGGCCGGGGGGGGGGATTTAGTGTGATAATTTTACATAGATTTTGTTCTGCCACAAGCTTCGGTAAACTTCGGTTGCATGCATTTTGACTTTTGTAAAAAAAAAAATAGAATTAAAAATTAACCCACTGAGTTACTTAACATTATGTAATACAGCTCAAAATAAGAGAATTATCTGGATTTGTATTCTTTCTAAGCAATTGTCCTATATGCATTATTGCATTTATTATGGTTCATATGATATTCTTTGAAAGTTACTTCTAAAACAATATACAAATTTTAAAAAACGCAATGATAAAAATAAGTTGTGAATACGTATAAAATACAAAAGAAATTCAAAACCCCATAAAATTACAAAACCGATATAATTTGTTCCCGCAATTTTGCTTGTGAAATGTGTGTAATGTCCCTGCGACTATTTCAAGACAATTGAGTTTAACAAATATATAATGTACGTCTCGCTGCTTCTTTGCAGAGATCTGTAACCCTCCCCCCCCCCCCCCCCCCCCCCCCCCGTCTATCTGTTTCAACTTTTGGTTATAGTTATAGCTTTTTCTTTTAAATGTTGTTTTTGCGATATCAGTTACACAAAAAACCTTTCATTTGTTGGGATAAACATATCAAGTATTTTGAACTTAGCCCGATCTTTCAACATTGTTGAGATTAGCTTTCATCTTTACACTATCCTCAGCATGATGCTGTGTTGAGTTCACTGGTGCATACTATGTGACTCCATTTGGGGACTCTGTGCCCTGTTGCATAACAGTTGAGATCAAACATACCCTAGTTAAAAAATCAAACATAGTCTCAGAATACTTGATTCAGATTGGCTGATACCTGACTTATGTTTTATTTTCTGACTTATGTTTAAATGTAACTTTTTCTGCAACAGGACCCAGGATATACATTTGACACCTTTTTATGTACCAGTGACACCTTTTTATGTACCAGTGATCTGAACACTGCATCAGGTGTGTGAAGTCATCAGGATTGAGAAAGTCCACGTGAGTGGATAAAAGCTTGTCTTAACAATTTTAATGTTGGCTGAAGCTTAAATTATGTTATATGATACTCAATATGTTTACCTTGTTTTCAACTTGTTTGTACATAGCGTTTGAATTTGTTGTTTTATAGTTCTGGTGAAGTTAGCATAGTAGTTTACAATGTTATGTAGTATAGTTTCATTGCAGAAATAATTAAGTGTTTCTTACATGCAGTCCGTATCAATAAAAATGGTACAGTCAGGAAAAAAACATAAATATGAAATCATCTAAAATAGTATGCATATTTGGTATCATGTTAAAGCAAAATAATTGTTCTTTATGTTGCTTTTATATTTATTTATTTATTTAGCTTTTGTAAATCAAGAGATATGTTATGTTTGACGAGGCAAAATCCCGTTTGTGTCACTTTTAATATTTATCATAGAAATTGGCTAGAAGATATCAATAGTCATACTGTTACAAGTAAACCAAATGATAAAAACATGAATTTAGTTTATTTATCATAATATGATATTCATAACTTAGTACGGTGGGACCTCTTTATAACGATGTCCTTGGGACCATGAAAATTACCTTGTTATATCAGGCTTCTCATATCAGGGTAAAAAAGACAAAGAAATATAAAGAGCTGGGACCAGCAAATTATCTCATTATAAGAGAATTTTGTTATATCCGACCTCGGTATAACGAAGTTCCACTGTACGTACATACAATACAAAATTGTTAATGGTCTTAACAATGAGCAGAGGCTTCATGTGGAGGAATAGCAGAAATAAAATGAAATAATGGATCAGAATAGTGTGGTAGCTTAGAGTACGTAGCAATACAACTAGGGTGTCAATTAATTTCATATAATTTCTTTTAAAAACTGTAAAAGCTATTTTAAATGAATACAATGTAAACAATGGCCGACAATTGCAGAACAGTGGTTTGTATCTTTGAAGAAAAAAAAAAGGTTTTTGACTGTATCATTTTTCTTTGATACAGATTGTATAATGTATGATGTACACAGTGGCGTACGCAGGGGGGGGGGGGGTTAACATTTTTAAATCGGGGAGTAAGAGCACTTTTTTTTCGGGGGGGGTCCCAAAAATTTTGCAACAACTCAGGGGAGGAGGGTGGGGGGGGTAAGGTCATTTTTTTTTGGGGGGGTCACCCTTTGTCACAAAAAAAAATATATATATATATATATATATATATTTTTTTTTTTTTTTTGAAAAATAATTGAGGGGGGGGGGGAATTCCATCAAAAATCACACACATAACAAAAATTGAGGGGGGTTCAACCCCACCCCCCCCCCCCCCCCCCGATGCGTACGCGCCTGGATGTACATGTACGTATGAATAATTATCATGTGAATCATTCACTTTGCAGGTCAGCTTGTTTGATTATTAATAAAAAGTTCATGTATACTTTTAAATGACTTGGTCGTCTCTTACTTAATTAATATTTGATCATGTACTGCATTTACAGTTTTTACACGATTGCTGATAATCTACTATCAATAGCATGACCCAGTCTCAAAAAGAAACATACCTTCAAGATGAATATTGTACTAACAAATAATATTACTTTAAATCAAAACAACATACGACGAGACAAAACTCAGGAACTACCCACAATCCTCTTTACAATTACATGTATTTCATTTTCATCAGTACATCAGCTGCTATGTAACATGTTTGGATGTTACATGGCAATGCAGATGATAAAACAGTTGTTAACTTTGCTGTCGGGAAAATCATGGAATGTTCCCCTTGGGAAGAAAATAAGAAATTAAAAAAATAAGTCCCTAGACTACGTCTCGGGCTTCCCTCAATAGCATTTAAAATACCTCGGAGTGGAACATTCCGTAAACCGAGGGTCATGATGACAGAGACCTTTCTTCATATGTATGTATGTATGTGTTTGTGTAATTTGCATGTATGGGAGTGTATAACCGACCATTGTCAGTGTGCGTGCGTTTCAGTTGCGGATCCATCGGGGGGGGGGGGGCCCCCTTGCAACAAAACATGTTCATCTGACCATTATTTATAGCCCCAAACCCTTGATCTTTGCCCCCTGGACCCCACGCCAATCCGTGACCTGCCAGTATCACAAATAAGGTATAAAATATGCTCATCTTTATAAAATGTAAAAAGGCCTGAGTTTTTTACTCTGACCTGGGGAAAAAAACGTTAATTTTACCTTTTTGGGAGATAGGCCCCCCCCCCCCTCCCCTGGGTGCGATTTTTCAAATTTTCGAGGGCAAAAAAAAATAGTGCTCACTGGGGTCCAGGCCAGTTTTAGGCATTTAATCATGGTCAGATGAGCAAATTTTGACACCTTATGACAAAGGCAGGTCACTATTTTTTTCTTTCTTTCTTTATGAATTTGCCATATTCCGACAAACGCATAAAAAAGTATAATTTACTAAACAGTGAGGAAAA